GAAACCATTTGATTCCGCTCTTGATCAACATTTCCTTACTACCCAAATATCTTTCAACCAGCACATACACTTGGTGCAGGACTTCATTGCCGCCACCAGTTACATCCATTTGCCGGTCTGGTAAACACTGCAACTCAAACGGAGGGTCTAACCATCTACTGCTTACCTTTGAATGTGATGACAACTTGATAGGAAAAGAAAAATCGAATCACACTGCATCATGTCTAGCTTTGCATTACTTCGCATTCCCGTCTCAAAGTCACGCTCATTTACCGTCAAACCGGCATGAAACTTGTCCGCCTCAAAGGCATCAAGCAAACCGTATAAAGCAGCCTGTGCCTCGGCACAAAAAATTGTGAAAGCATGAAAATACTCATGGACACTGTGTCAGAAACATTTCAATTTCATATTACACCGTCAGTCTCCAGCAAGGTTGAGGCCATGACAATTTGCCACGGGCCTTCCGATGCCGCCTATGGAGGCAAGAAGCAAACCAAGTCGGAACACCATGTCGTCAATGGGAATTCCAGGATCCTAAATTGGAGGTACTGTACCATATAAGGCCATATTTTGTGGTGATATTCCCTTACATAGGCCTTATATAGGCCTTATATATGGTAGGTACCTCCAATTTAGGATCCTGGAATGGCCATTGATGTCGACATTGCAGTTCCGTTCCAACAATGTGTAACGACGTACTAATATGGCTTAAACAGAGACAAGAACTCATCAGAAACAAGACTTCGGACATAGGCGAACATGTCACTCCAAGCAATGCCACGACATGCAAATAAAGTATCATAAAGTTCAACACACTTCAATACATGTCAAAAGTACCAGCAGAGTTAGCTTTTTCACGCTTTCCCTGACATTCCATTGAAACTCAGGCCTTTTCCGGGGACTCCTGATGGAACTCAGACACATCAGGCCTTGGCACGCAAGATGTCGAATGACATTCTCATGATCTCACAATGTCTCACTGCATTCTTTGCTCTAAGGATCCCTACTCCTCTCCTTTCATCATGTTTGAATTGTTGTTGTCTTTTAACTATCAACATGTTTGCCTACTTGCAATGAACATGTGCACCTAAGTCAGCAGCTTTTCGATCTCTGCAACCTCCAGGGATTCAAGAAAGAAACACACCCTGCAACTTCATCTCCCAACACAAGGGCACAAGGGGTTGTTGGGACAATTTCCGTGCCTTGCTAGGAGTAGCCGCTGAGTAGCCAGTGCGATTCTAGCGTCATCCTGACAAATCTTCCAAGCCTTGCACTCTGACGAGAACGTGCAAAATCATCACACCATCTCATACCGCGACAAGACCTGAAAGGACCTGAAAAGACTTCGACGTCATGTAGCCTCTGCGTGCAAACTTCGCGAGGTCACAAAGCGTCGACCTTGCTTTCGCACGGCAAGTGGAAGCATTTTGTTTCTGAGCGAATTGAAGCTACAAGAATACCATAGAACATCTGAAAAAATGCCTTCTTTGAGACACTGTCAAAGGATGCCAATGGGCGCCATATGGCCAAAGGTCGCTTTCCAGCACCGGCATGGAAATTGGGTCCACGGCGTCGGCATGGTGCAGCACAACGCCAAGAACTACCTCGACAGTGAACTTGAGAGTGTATATATATATACTTCAACATATACTTACTTAGTGTCGCGGGCAGGTGACAGTTCCTTTTCATTTGGATGCTGAAATACGCTAAAATGATCTAAAATGCACATGTTCCCATCGCATGGAGGGAAAATGGCTCAAGGAGTAGGAGAGGTTCAGGACTTTGGTAGCTAGCATTTCCAAAAGATTTTCCGTACTGAGGGAAATGAAGCCAAAAATCATCAGAGCATGTTCAGTTGGAGTTCTGATATATACTGCTTGTTCACAACCCTATTCAAAGCCATTCTGCACCATTGTACGCAGGGTGCACACTTTGTCTTCATTGTCAGCCAAGAGTCAAAAAGTGGTCTGCACAAGCTGGTCTCCACTCTCAAGCAAGGTTGCAAGCAAGGTGCCAGCAGGTTCCGGCAAGGTTCCAGCAAGGTTCCAGCAAAGATCCACAAATGTTCCAGCAAGGTTCCAAGCAAGGTTCCAGCAAGGGTTCCAGGAAGGTTCCTGCAAGGTTCCAGCAAGGTTGCAAGCAAGCTTCCAGCAAGGTTCCAGCAAGGTTCCAGGAAGGTTCCAGCAAGGTTCCAGGAAGGCTCCAGCAAGGTTCCAGCAAGGTTCCAGCAAGGATCCAGAAAGGTTCCAGCAAGGTTCCAGCAAGGTTCCAGCAAGGTTCCAGGAAGGTTCCAGCAAGGTTCCAGCAAGGTTCCAGCAAGGTTCCAGCAAGGTTCCAGCAAGGTTCCAGCAAGGTTCCAGCAAGGTTTCAGGAAGGTTCCAGGAATCAGCAAGGTTCCAGGAAGGCTCCAGCAAGGTTCCAGGAAGGCTCCAGCAAGGTTCCAGCAAGGTTCCAGCAAGGTTCCAGCAAGGTTCCAGCAAGGTTCCAGCAAGGTTCCAGCAAGGTTTCAGGAAGGTTCCAGGAAGGTTACAGCAAGGTTCCAGCAAGGTTCCAGGACTGTTCCGATTTTTCGAAGCGTGCATTTTCGTGGCACCACTCCCCGGCCCCACAGATCGAAACCCAACACTATCGCTGTTGGGAACTATCCATTACAAAAAGAAACATGGTTTCAGGACTATCGAATTTTGCTATCTAGCCTCACTGGTTAAACCAGGCACCACACACTCAGGAAGTTGTCCTGAAAAGTGGAAGCGTCTTGCGAAGCAGAATCTGGCGATGGGGCAAACATTGGTAGGCTTCATGAACACACAACAACTGGTGTACGGGACGTAGATGCGGGGTATCCCTAACACGCATGTTTCCCCTCTAACTCAACTATATTGGTCTGCATTCATTGATTCTTTCGGGTGCCCACTTGCTGAGAACAAGCATAGGTCAAGCCCACTTTGCATCAACGCACCTATCCATGTTGTAAAGTTGTTTCCTATCCATGTTCAACGTCCAACTTCGCATTGGTGTTACTCAAACCCCTGTCCTTCTTGGAGGTGCAGTACATCGAACCAGGGTCAAATCCCCGGCAGCAGAACTACAGAAATTCCACAAAGTTGCAAAGTTCTATGACCAATTTCAAAGTGAAACCATAAAACAAGGCAAACAGAAACATGGAAGGAAAAAATAGCGTCACTTCTCCGCAAAACAACATCAGCGCCTTTGGAAACTACAGGAAGGCGGACCAATTTGAAACCAGAGTTTTCTTTGGACCATCCTGGCAATGATCTCAAGTGATACGAAGAGGTAGGTGTATATAATTGTCAAATGTTTCATCTATTGGTCAAGTCTTGGTAATCTTTAATCTTCCCAAATCTGCTCATGTATTTGGTGATAACTGTGAGCAATGCTCTGAATCTACGTGGCAAAATGTTTTCTGATATATACATACATATATATATTATATTATATATATTAAATTACATATATATTATATTATATATATATTATATTATATATATATTATATATTCCCAAATCTCCAGGTATCATCTTTCAATCCCATGTCCATGTCTTACAGTCGAAAGACTCACTGTCCAAGGTGTGAAAACACGGACCAAGTTCCAGGCCAAGTCCTCGGGTTTCTGACCTGGGGAACGGTTCCAGGCCATGTTGGGCACCATTTCATGGCCGAATAAAGTTGCTATGGCTCAAGTCTGGAGTCAAAAGGCACGAATGAGGCCTAGTTGTTCAAAATCTTCATACAATCCTTCACAAAATTCAACAGCTACGTATCTTTCTGGAGGTTTGCTCCACGAACGGCAGAACCAGGAGTCGGTCTCATGGACGGAATAGGCATGTTCATTTCAGTCTGCTAAGTACTGTACATTACCCTCTGGGAATCAAAGGTGCAATGGGAAATCCCCCGATAAATAGAGGTTTAAGGGAAAGTCATTTATGAATGGTGGATTTCCAATTGCTATGTTTGATTTCCGGAGGGTAACACGCTTGGTTGGTGGGGCTTAGCTTTACGTCCAAGAACGATCTCAATCTATCCGGATTGGCTGAAGGAACCAAAAGTATTCCCCACTGATTTACTGGGCAGTGACCACAATATGCCCATGATATGACAAAAAAGTTTAGAGTAGCTTTCTATCACCATCACCGTAATCTTCCCCATCACTACCAACATCTTCCCCATTACAAGTTTGACAACTAACCTTCTATTAGCCATATACAGATTATATCTCCCATGAAAGGAGATAGCCCCAACTAGGGAATATATGGATTTGTCTGAAAATGTCCCCAATTCCAAGGATGAATCATCATTGTCCGTAATTCGCAAGTCGGACTTTTTGGGCCCCATGTTCAGACACACCTATGACAAATTGATGGTCATATATCCCAATTGTACATCCCATTGTATCACCAGACTATCCCCAACCATGGATTATATTCCTATCATATCCTCAACATTCCTCAACAATTATTTTGCTTGGTTTAAACCACCGTTAAATTTGTTGGAACAATCCCCATCGTCCAGGATAAATATCATATCCTCAGGGAGCTCCTGGCAGCGGCTCAGCTTCGACTGTACCACGCTTGGCGACTTTCACACGATTGCGGGGATTCAGAAAATGAATCCAGGGTCCAAAATTCGTGAGATATTACGGGATTGTATGGGGAGTATGTTGGAATATTGATCATGACCGTTATCATACTTAGTCCATGGATGGGAAGTTCTAAGGTCATTTGAACATACCGACATTGAGCAGACCCCAAGTCTCTCCAACACCTCAAATGAAGGCAATCCTTTCATAAACCAGTATGCTCCAGGGGTCTGTTGGATTTGGTAAAATGGGTCTCTCATTAATGATACAATGGGCATATGGTACTAATGGAATTTGTTGTTAATTGGAACTTAGCACTAAGTGTGACTTTTAGGCAACTGAAGGATGGCTGCGACTGGGGCTCAAGACGAAACCCGGTTTGCTCAGTTGGGTAGCGGCTGCCATGTCCAGGTTGCTGGCGCTGCTTCTTCTGTGCTCCGGGACCTCCGGTTGGTGGGGCCCTCGTAATGAGAGCACGGCTCCCCCGGATGGACCATGGAGGGCGTGGGCTCGTGGGCAATCGCCCCTGGTCGTGTCCTACCTGGAGAGCATGGAGACTGCGGCCGAGGATGCGAGGAATTCCATCTTTAGCTGGGGCGGAGTTTCCTGGGATGCAGGTCTTTGGTCGGTTTTTGATGGCCTGATCGGCTTGGCAGGCTGGGGCCTTTTCGGCACAGCATGGGGAGATGTGAGGAATGGATGCCGACGTCTCATCCAGTTTTGCATCGTGGTCGGGCTTTGCATTTTGGCACACTACGTTTGGGCGATTTGCTGGCCTATAGTTTCCTTGGTGATAGCCGTTGTGATGACCATCGTTTGGATTTTGCGGAAGACAGTCCGAGTGGTGGGCAAAGTCATGTACCACGTACAACGTTTTTGTGGTGGTACTCCGGAGGCCGTGGATGCAGAGTACTATGGGCCCGGAACTGGGAATGTGCCAGAGACTTCGGAGCTTAGGAAGTTCAAGCACACGGCATCACACGAGAAATGGGTGGTGCTTAAGAGATCAGGAGACGTGGCAGTTTTCAAGCTCAGCAGTGACAACCAGACCATTCGTTCCAGTGGACTCTATGTGGGCATCGAGCCGGACACTATGAGGGGCACGGCTTCGTTGGTGCGAGACCTACAAGGGTGCGACAAGGTTCATCTTTGTCGGAATGAGAGTTGCCCAGAGGATGGACAACACTTCAAGACCTACGGGCTGGCCAAGAAGTACGACCCGGAGAAGTTCGAGCTTGCAGTTGCAGCGCAAGGAGCCCGGGAAGCAGGGGGTTTGCTATGGAGCTGGGCCTGGAAGGGTTCACAGGCGGTTCGACATCGTATGGCAGACTTCGGTTCAGAGTCAGAGACGGAGGTGAGTGCCTGCAGCGCTCATCGGATCAGATGGGCGACATCGGAAGGGGACGTGCAGTTGTGTGTTAATCCATGTACCTCCCCAGGAACTGAGCAGGTCCCTTTGCTGGTGGAGGACGAGTTTCACATGGGCAGCACAGGGAACCTCTGCATGACACACGCCAGCAAGTATCTTGCACAGCGATACACCTTGAAGTGTGGCCAAACAGAGCGTCGCCGCCTGGGAAAGCCAACATCAACAGGTCTTCATGTTTGCTGGCATCATGAACCAGGGACTACATCACGGCGTTCGAGGTCACGGTCTAGAGAACGTCGAGCGCGAGGTGATGGTGAGGAGCCGGTGGAGACTGACGCAGATGGAGCGCCAACCTCGGGGGAAAGTTCTGGGCCCGCTTATCAGCAGCTGCTGGATGAGATCCGAGACCTGAAGGAGAACTTGCCCAAGGAGAGGGAGCACAAGGACCCGGAGACATCTCAGGCACGACGCAAGAGATTGGCTTCACGATCTCCTGGAGTGACGCCCAAGTCGTCTGTGCACCGCACCCTGGCTAGGCTGGGAATGCTTGACTCACCGGATGGCGGAGACCACCGAAACTGGTTAGAGGAGTATCTGGAAAGATACACCCAGGGCAAGGACATCGGCCTCGCCGAGGACCAAGTCCGAAGGACCATGGCAGAGGAGAAGGGCATTGGCTTTCGGGAGCTTAGCAGAGTTTTGCATGGGCTTGGAGTGACTGAACAAGGACGAGGTCAGAAAGGGCTCACCAAGTTCCTCACGAAGTGGCGGGCTGACTTTGAGGACGATGACGGTGTTGTGCATGACTCACCAGACACCAGTTGCAGGTCAAGGTCCTGGAGTCTGGTTGCATCGGAAGCTCAGTCAAAGTTGTCCACACCCCCAGGGCTGGCGGAAACTCCCCCACAGGTGGTTGAGAAAGCTGGACCGCCCTTGACCATTGGGCCACCTACCATTTTTGGCAAAGGAGATAGGAGGGCTGGAGCAGCTGCAGTGACCCCTGGAACCGATTCCATGGCCGCTTTGGCCCAGGCGATTCAGTCTCAGACGGCGGAGTTGGCATCACTGGTCAAAGCTCAACACGAGCATACCACACACCCTCAAGGTACGGTCAAAGGCCTGAACCGCTTGTCAGAGGAGATGGTTTTCATCATGAGGGCCTGTGACCAGTACACGGTATCAGTTTGTCCTGGGGAAGTTGGATCGGGGCTGGCCAATGGTCTTCTTTCTGCTCAGGTGGGTGCTGCTACCAAGTTGAGAGCCATGGGATTCAGGCAAAGAATGACAACGCGATTGGCGGTGGGATTGGCTGGACCGTTTTGGGGCTCTCAGGAGAAATACTGTCTTGGTGCAGCAGATTTCATCCAGTACACCGATGCAGAGCTGGATGCCTTCGCGATGGAGAAGAACACCAAGGGCGCTGTGGAGCAACGGCCAGCTTCTCCGACCAAGCTGGAGGATTGGACAGCCCGTGTGAAGCGCCAGAATGAGGTGTGGAGGCTTCTGTATGGGGAAGAATGGAGAGACGTGAGGGAGCACGCCGCTGACACCCTGGCGGGTTGGCATCAAGATTGCCCTCACAAGTGGCCTTTGACCATCGTCATGGACGCCTGGGAAGAGCTGCATTGGAGATTCCTAGAGGAGATCAAGGAGCTCATTCGGGACATCAAGAAGATGGCTAAGAGGGAAAGCTTGAGCCTGCAGGAGTTGAGGTTCTACGCCCTCTTGCCCGGGCCGGATGGCCAGGCGTGGCTCAAGTTGCCCAACACCTTTGACATCAAGAATCCAGAGGGTTGGTTCAAGAGCGAGCTGGAGCCCCGCATCGAGCGGCGCCAGGAACGAGCTCTATGGCGCCTCACTTGGGATGGAGGTCGACGAGATCGAGGACACCCTGCCGGGGGCACTTCTCCTGTGGCCGCCGGGCAGACCCCTGAGAAAGGAGGAAAGCCATTGCTGGGACCGAAGCTGACAGCGGAAGAGGTGAACAGGGCCAGAGATAGGGCTCCCGTGGATAGACATGGAACGTTGCTGTGCTGGTCCCATCTGACCCACCAGGGCTGTGCAAACTCAAGTTGTCAGAGATCGCATGAACCACTGAAGGGCTCCTTCGAGCAGCTGGATGCCTGTGTTCGCATGCAACTCCTAAAAAGGGGGGGCCTGAAGAGGATGAAGGCGGAGAACAAGGAGACGGTGGAGCAGAAGATCAAGGAGATCAGAGCCTCCCTCCAGGCGGACAAGGCAGAGAAAATGTCCAAACCAAAACGGAAGGCCGGAGAAGGGGAGAACCCTGTTGCTGAGGAGGTCGGCACCGGAAAAGCTGGAGGGCAGCGAGAGCCGCGAGTCCGTTTCTGGGACGTGCCAGTGGAGTTTGAAGCAGTGGACTACACGCGCCAGGAGGACATCAAAGAGCTGGTGCAGCAGCCCGATACCTATTGGGGAGTTCCAGAACCACATCAAGAACGACCATTTCATGGAGGAGATGAGGATGCACCCAGCGAAGCTGTGGAGCTTGTGAAAAGGGCGCGGAAGCTGCATGATGGGCCTGTTCTTACCGCCCTCAACGAAGCGTCTGATGATCTGTTTGCATGGGCGGCAACCAGAGTCGCCAAAGAGCCGGCTATCGGGTTGGAGGACCTGCTGGAGGAGATGGAGATGTATGGACCATCGGACCTTGCAGCGGAAGCGGCAGCCTACATGGAGAAGGCTCCCCCCCGACAGAAGGCAGGTGAAGCTCCGCGTTTGGTGGTGAAGGACACCTTGTGGGCCCCAGGAGAGCCGGGGCAAGGAGGTTTTGAACTTGATGGCAACGCCTGGAGAACGTGGGACTACCTTGAGGATGTGGTGATGGACGAGGAAATGGCGTCAATGCTGGGAATGGTGGAGCCCCAAGAGGAGAGAAGGCAGTGTGTGACGAAAACTATGGCTGCTGGAATTCTGGCGAGACGCCTCGCACGGCGACCAACCTTGGATGAGGTCAACGAGGAGGCACTTTCGTTGAGGAAGGAGCAGACCAGGTTGGCTTTGGAGGCCAACTCCCAGATGGGTGTCGCCGGGGAGTTTGTCACACCGGTAGAGCACGAACTGCGGGTCTACACACATGACATAGTCCACCCACATCATGAGCGAGATTTTCGTTCCTTTGCAGTTTTCCCTGTGGCAGCGCTGGACGAGGCCCGTGTGGTGGTGCTACGAGCTGATGTGCGAGGTCGCTTGTTGGTGGAGACCATCATTGGAGGGGCATGGAAACCTCAGCAGTGGACTATGTGTGCACTCATCTGGAAGGGCCACATGGTGTACGCCCAACCGCCGGACAATTTGGACCTTGATGCCTGGTTGGATGCAGAAGACGTCACAATGACGCCAGTCTTGGGCTTCAATTTCTTTTGGCATGCTCGACATGATCAGGTAGTTTCTGCTCCTGGCAAGCTGTCTTGCAGACATTGCCGACCAGGGCGCAAGGCGGGGGACATCATGGTGGAGCCGAGACGACACAGCCATCTGGCGGCGGTCGCTACTGTGGCTGGCTCTCACGACCCAGATGAGACCACGGTTATCCGAGGCACCTCCCAGGAAGGCCTGGTTTTGAGAGAGCTCTTTGCAGGTCAGGCTACCCTGACTGCCGAGTGGAGACGACAGGGTGGAAAAGCACTGGCACCGGTTGAGGTTTATGAGGAGCCACATACCCGGACGGGCTATGTGAAGGCACATGACCTGATGCTGCCGGAGAACCGTCAGGCCCACCTCCATCGGGCACGATGTGGCCCTGAAAACATCGGATGGGTGGCAGCACCTTGCACCAGTTATTGTGATTGGAATCTGGAGAATGGAGGGTCACGCACATTCCAGCAACCAGAAGGTGGCGTGGGACGACCCCTCACCGACAAGGAGATGGCGGGCAACACTTTGTCAGAGTTTGCGGCCGAGTACTTCGAGGACATGCTGGACAATGACGGCTTCCCCTTTGCTGAAAGTTCAGGAGCCTCGGGCAGATACCCGAAGCAGTGGGATCTCCCTTGCTGGAAGCGGGTACTAGCTCGCTCTGACGTGGACTGGGTGGAGTTCCGCATGTGCGCATTTGGTTTGGGCCCCCCTGATGAGGAGAATGCCTACTACCAGCACCTCACGCGGGTGGTCTTCCGCCGCAATGCAGCGGTGCGAGCTGCGCTGTCTCGACGCTGCCCAGGAGTCAGCTCGAGCCACAAGCATATGGCCTTGAAAGGGTCTCGCCCTGGCAGCCGAGTCACTCGGTGCACGGAAGCTGGTGTCTATTGCCCTCAGTTTGTCCAGACCATCGTCGATGTGGTGCGAGCTCATGTGGTGGTGGGGGGGGTGAGTCTTTTCACTTTGGAAAGGCCTATCCCAAGTGATCGCGACAAGGCTGGTGGCATGGAAGAAAGCAGCCCTACAAGTGCAGCTGATGGTGAGTGCTGCACAGAGGATTGTGACCTTGATGAGCATGCTGAAGTTGGGGCAGAGGATTGTGACCTTGATGAACATGGTGAAGTTGGGGCCAGTGTAGCAGCGGCAGCAACGCCGATCCCTGAGGAACAACATGGTGAAGTTGGTCTCAATGCAGCTGGAGCTGCAACATCAGCGGTTGCAAGTGCGTGTGAAGCTGTGTCAGAAGGGCAGTTTCAGGAGCCGGGTCAGCGTGAAGGTGAAGTACAGCTTCCGAGGATGGGCCAGCCAATTGGGACTCTGGAGGAGATGGGAGGAGCATGGACCCTGCTGAGACCTGTACCCAGAAGCTATCAGCCAGTTGATGCGGTTTTGGAGCCCTCCGAGTCTATGGTGGCAACTGATGGTGATGAGCTGAAGAGACTGGAGGAAGTCCCAACGCCACAGGCAGCGGAAGATCGGTATTCGTGGCATGAGTTCAATGATGCCAATGAGTTTGATGAGGTGATCGAGTCGTACCTCTATGGCACGGAGGATGATCCAAACCAGGCACGGCTGGACATGACCTTTGGAATGGATCATGCCGACACCTACGGAGATCGAGTTCACCTACCAGATGGAAGAGATTTCTATCAAGTAGGGGAAGGGCACTTGGTCGTCATGCATGTTGAGCCGCGGCGGACGTATTTTGTTCCTTACCCGGGGTTTGGTCACGAGCAGGGCTTTGGACCTGAGGACTTGAGGAGCGAGAGGTTGACGGTGTGCAAGTACCATGGCCGAGGACCGTTCCAACTACTCACTGTCGGTCACTACCAAGACGATTGGAGGATCAGTGGAGAGAGAAACCCGGACCTTGGCTATTGGGTGGGCTACAGTATGTTTGCGTTTGAGGGCTGGAACCTGCCTTGGTACGACGAGTTCTGGGGATCTGATGACCATGACGGAGGACCTGAAGGAGGGGACCCTGAGGATGACTATGGGAACGATGAGGAAGATTTCCAGGAAGAAGGTGAAGAGGAGTCTGAGTCGGAGACGTCCTCGACCAGCTACGGTTCTCAGAGGTCAAGGTCACTACGCCGCGCTGGGGGATGTCGAGACAACAACCCTGTGATGGAGAAAGCCCGGCAGTACGTGGAGATGGTCAACAAGCTGGGCAACGGCACAAAGAGTGATTGGGCCAATGTCTTGAAGTGCGGGGATGAGCTCCTCGCCACCGCCGGGGGAGTCCAAGAAGCCGCTGGCGCTCTATGGGAGGTGCGAAAGGAGAAAGGCTTGGACAACCTCAGAGGTGTGCGGGACCAGAGCTTGGAGGGCATCATACATCCACTGCTGCTGGAGTACTTGAGGAGCGTGAGTGAGAACGGCATGGTGGCTCGGCATCCGGGCTCTTCCCAACGAGTGGAGTCGGGCCTTCATCCTAACGCCAAAGCTCATTTGGACCAGGTGTACAAGCAGATCTTCAAGGACGTCAAGAAACACCGGATTTTGGTTGTGAAGAAGGGCAATGAGGCGTTGGGCAACACTATTTCTTCCCCTTTTGAAGCGGTGGACAAGATGTTGCCAGACCGCTCGATTGCCCCGGACAAACGGGTGGTGCATGACCAACGTCAGGTCAACATGGGAACCAGCAAGTGGTGGCACCCTCCGGCGTTGCAGCCCACCCATCAGCAAATCGCTCGGCGTGTCCTTTGGCACAAAAGCCGGTACCCAGGGGTGGAGGTTCTCATTTGCAAGAGGGACATCGCGGGAGCTTTCAGGTTGCTGTGGCTGGCACCGCAGGATGCTCATCTTTTTGCTGGTGATCTTCCTTGGAAGGCAGACATGATGGCCGAAGAGGAGCAGGAGCGGACCACCTGCCCTGAGACACAGGAGGGGGCGGAGATGACCGTGATCTACCTGGTCTCAAGTTTTGGGTTCAGTGGCTCCCCGGGTGAGTGGACGGCATTTGGCCGGGCTACCGAAGAATTCCACCGTGCGCACAGACCCGAGCATTCACGTCGAGATGGTCGTGCGGGTTTCTGCAGCAAGATCTTGGTCGACGACAACATCCTGGTTGAGCCGATGGTGGGACTACGACCTTGGGTTTCTGCACGTTGTTACGACGAGGGTGTCAGGTTGATGTTGGGCAACGATGCGGTGAACGCGGAGAAGAATCAGATCGAGGGCGTCTACAAGGAAGAGCAAACGATCTGGGGGCTCAACATCAACACTCGGACTGAGCATGCCAGCTTGCCAGGGCGCCGCATTGAGAAAGGAGCGCATTTGCTGGCTCACCCGTCGTTTGATGCGGAGTCGAAATGCCTGACCTTGAGGCAGCTACAACAGTTCAGAGGAATCGCAACTGGCTGGGCAGTAGTTGTCAAGGGTCTGAAGAATGAGCTCAAGGCGGCTGACGTCTTCCTGACCTGTGGAGATGGATCCATGCCGGTGCGGCCGAGAACGTTGGGCTACCAGAATGAGGAGCAGGCCGTGGTCAGGGCATGGGATGACTTGTGGTCACTCTTCGAGGTCTGCCGGTGGTTGTGTGCCAGGCCGGAAATGTGGGAGGCACAGTTCGGTGCTACCTTGGATGAGCTGCTGGAGCCCAGGGAGAGGCTGAGTCTACCTGGAGGACACAGGCATGCGGTCTTCGTGTCAGCAGACGCCACACCGTCCACAGTGGGGGCCATCGACTGGACGGGAGGTTTTGCCTCCCAGCTCAAGTCAGAGGACATGGGCCCTTGGCTACAGCTCGCTCTTGAGGGGGAGAAAGACGATGAGCAGATCCGAATTCATGTCAGCGAGATGCTGGCTTTCACCGCCTTTGCGGTCACCAGAGGCCCGTGCTGGAAGGGCAAGGTTGTCATCTATGCCGGGGACAACACGGTGGTTCGCTCTTGGATCACCAAAAGGCAGAGTGGGTCCAGAGCAGGACGGCTGTTGCTCAGGGTGCTGGCAATGTGCGAGATGAGGTATGGCTTCACCGTGGTGGCAGGCTGGTGGAGGACCTTTCACAACGTGGACTCTGATTTTGTCACCAGATGCACCAGGAAGGAGTTCGTTGAGTATTTGGACCGAAAGGGATGGATTGAGGTGAACATCCAGGAGCCTATCGAACAGGCATTACAGGACACCACAAGGTTTGGGCCTTGCTTCCTGTCGTGGGCGGATCCTGCTGACCGCCAGCTGATCATGCAGCTGAAGGAGCAACGAGTGAGGCGGTCTGTCGACAAGGCCTTTGGTGTGGACTGGGAGAAGATGGAGGTCCTGGAGTGGGCTGCTCAAGGCAGAGTCGTTTTTGACTTCTTGTCGGTGGCCAAAGCATGTGGAGCTGCAGCCGCAGACGGTGGTCAGCTGAAATTGGGAATGGCCACCATCGGATGTGATGTGAAAGGGAACCAGTTGGTCAACTATCTCGAGTGGGCAGCACTCAAGGAGGTTGATCTGGGGGTGGTGGAAGGCCCCTGCATGGCCAACTGGGAGAAAGCTGAAGAGTGGTGCAAGGCGTCGGGGTGGTGGAACTACACGGAGGAGTTCGTGACCACTGAGTTTGGGGAAGCCCTGGCACGGCGTCGTCGCGCCATGATGGTGAGCAAAACGGCTTTGGCAACGGACTTGTTGAAGAACTCCTTGGGCAGAGCGGTTGTCGCCACCCCTCTTGGGACAGTGATCAAACCTGGTCAGCTATGGGATGGCCTCACTTGGGAAAAGCCGGAGAAGTTGGTCGTCGCGCATGGAGTGCCTCGTGATCCTCTTCTACCACATGTGGCTGCGCATTTGACCTGGGGAGGCTCGAAGCAGGAAAGGGTGAATGTCCACGGACACACAGGACCGGGGCGCTGGCCGTTATGTCCAAGCGAAAGCAAGGGCTTCGAGATCCTGTACGTCTACGACCGAGCGGGACCCGAAGGATGTGTACGACCACTCAGCTTTGAGGAGGTGTGGTGTGCGCAAGGAAGGTCTCTTCTGGAATGGTCAGAGGCTGTTGAAACATGTGGAGGAGAGGTCGAGAGAGCTTATGGAGAAGGATGCAGAGCCACCGGGATGAGGACGGCTGAGACTTTGCTGATGTGGGCAGCTACAGCATCCACGTGTGAGAAGGGAGGCCCACACAGCAAGGCCGGGGCCATCCGGGATGGACCGATGGACGAGAGCCTGGCCAGGTTGTTGATTTGGTTGCGGCAGTGGAAGAAGGGCGACTTCGGTTGGGAAGGTCAATCTCGAAAAGCTGGAGGCGGTATGAGGTCGATGGTTAGTCGGCACGGAGAGGCCATCTGGTTGGAAGCCTTGGAGGAAGAGGGCATGTTCGGTGAGATTGACCGGAAAGCTGGAGGCCGCAAGCCTAGAAGCGCAACCAAGCAGATGGGAGAGGCGAGCCTTGTGAGCCAGCCATGCACACAGCCTTTTGATGGGGATGTGGCCGGGAAGGTGGAGGACTGGCTGGAGGCGAACCTCAGTGGAGACAAAGCAGAGAGCACGGCGCGCGCTTATGCTGGGATGTGGGCAAAGTGGTGCGCGTGGGCCGAACGGCAGCAATGGGCGTCCCCCTACCTCAATCCAAAGGAGGACAAGCTCGACAAGGAGAACAAAATCCTGGCCTTCCTGGGATATTTGGGCTGGCTCAACTTTTCATCGGCCAGCTTGAAACAGGCAGTCTTCGCGCTGAAGGATGCACACAAGCGAGCTGGAGCAGGAGATCCAACAGAAGGGTTGTTTAGACTCTGGGTGCTGATGAATGGTTTGGATCGAAGAGCCGCCCGAAAACCCAGGCGCCTGGGAGTCACACCGGGCATGCTGCAGTGGATTGGGAAACAGTTCCAAGAGGTGCCAAGGGGCTTCGGTGAGGAGCGAGTGGACGGGTTCATGGTCCAGGCAGCGCTCTTGACGGCATGGTTCTTCATGATGAGGGCTTCGGAGTTCTGTGACTCCAATGGCATCAACTTGGACAACGTCTTGAGAGGTTTGGATGTGAAATTGGCACGGGATGGTCAGCCAGCAGTCCTGGGCGAGGCCACGGAGGTGACAGTCCAGTTCCGGAAGACCAAAGCGGATCAGGAGGCGTTTGGGTCTTGCAAAACCATGGCGAGAACGGGCATTAGTTATCTGTGCCCGGTGGAGGCCTTGGAGAACTACAAGCGAGTTTGCCCGGCGCGTTTCCAAGGAGCAGATGCACACAAGCCATTGTTCCGCTGGGGTAACGGAGTGACCCTGAAGAGAACGGAGGTGCAGTACCTTCTTCAGAAGGCAGCAGTGGCGGAAGGCTTGCCGGCCGATCGGTTCTTGTCCCATTCTTTGAGGATTGGAGGGGCGAGCGCCTTGTTCCAAGCATCGGCCGACATCGAATTGGTGAAACGGATGGGAAGGTGGTCCAGCAGTTCGGTGCAGAAGTACCTCTATGATGGAGGTCAGACTTTGAAAGAAATGGCAGGGCGCATGGCCCAGGTGGACAAGAAGGTTCACTACACCTGATGTTTGTGACGGTGACCACTATATGTAAAGGTTTGACCTGGTGAACTCTGGGGATGGCTTCGCATGGGGGGGTGTGGCAGCCGAAGGGATGCCATAGCTGTGGTGAAGCCTTCAACTCTGAGTGCGCAACGCCGCCAGTGAAAACACTGTGGAGCCGTCATGCTTAAGGTGCACTCAAAGTTGGAACTTAGCACTAAGTGTGACTTTTAGGCAACTGAAGGATGGCTGCGACTGGGGCTCAAGACGAAACCCGGTTTGCTCAGCCCACCCAACAACCACCCGGTGTGGCAGCCGAAGGGATGCCATAGCTGTGGTGAAGCCTTCAACTCTGAGTGCGCAACGCCGCCAGTGAAAACACTGTGGAGCCGTCATGCTTAAGGTGCACTCAAAGCATAGTTTTATTGTCATTGCATAGACAAAATTAGACTATTTTTGGAAGACTCAATGTTAGATAATGTTAGTATCAATATTTTGCTGGTTAATCCAACATGGTTCACATAAAAAAACATCCCATGTTTCCATGACTTATCCACCTGGTGGTCTCAGGCCCAGGCATCCGAAAATTTTCGGTGGCAGTCACGGCACCGCGGAGTCCCCCCGGAAGTCGTGGCTGCAGGGCGAGTGGGGAACATCATCATCCTGTAGAGACGATGTCGTTTTTGTTCAAATATGTTTCGCAGTTTGGTAAGGATATGTTTGAAATGTCCATATTCTATCCACTGCAGGATTCAGGATGATATGTATTTATATAATTAAATTATATATATCAAGTTGATGAATTGACTATTTTCTCGAGGTCAAACTCTTTGTGCCCTGCTGTTCTCTGCCGACCACCATTTCACAAATTTGAAACAAACCATTGGGACATGTTGGGATGGATTCCCCAAGTCACCATGTACAATGAGGTCAGCCAGTACGATGGTTCTGACCTGCCAAGAACTATTGCATCCCAAACGATCTGCAAGTGGCGTACACCCTTAACTTAACATCTTGGACAAACTAATGAAACCCAAGAAAAATTGCAGTTTCCAAAACATAGAAATCATTGAGTTCCAGGTAGGTATGAGTATGCCTCAAAATTGAGCAATCCAAAACCGATGGTTTATCGTCCTGTTCCCCGTGAAAATTGATGGACACCGCCCAATTCAGAACAGCCCTGTCTGGTGCTCCTACAAACCTCCATGGTGAAAAAGTGAAATCACCAAACCCTACATTTTCTCAATCAATGTTCATTGCATTTCGCTGCTCGCACTTCAACCGTCTTGAGACTTTGCTCAGAAGCCGGCTGCCGAAGAACAGTAGAGATTGAAACATTTGATGTTTGAACCAGCATCCTTGAACTGCCACAGTTGATCATGCGGCATGAAGAGTTGCTTTGCTCAACCGGAGTCTCTCATAGTCTCTCGACTCATCGCAACATATCGTAATCGGCGCGGATTCAGAACTGTTCCAGTTTGCGATGCCCGCGCTCCCCGGCCGCTTCTTGCAGGCAAGTGTCCAAGAACCTGGCACAAAACAGCAAACGCTTCAGGTTGCAGATTGATCCAGGATTTCTAAGCAGGAGAATATAGGGCTCCCATTTCTAAGCTGAGAAACTTTGGTCCTGAAGCATGTCCCACTTGAAAATTGATGCTCTCTGGCTCTCTGTGACTTGGAGTGTAAAATGTGGCAGCGGTCTTGGGAATGAACATAGTCTGCGACTTACCACGTGATGTGGATAACATGTCAGATCTACATTATAGTGGATCAATAACACAGTGACATATTATAAGAGATGCCCAGACTGGAGGTTAGTGACGGTTAGTGCACATTGAAATGTTCAATCAGTTATAACATATGATACAACATGAAAATCGATTACATTCTTCGAATTATCTCAGGTGCATGGCGTATAGTATAGTTGATACATAGTAATTTAGTTATATAATTAGAAATATATGGATTCAGAATGATTCAGATAGCTAATATTGAGTCATATTGAGATTACCATTGAGTTTTGGAATGTCTTGGAGTCTTCCGGTGCAATTCGCACCTCGGCCCGGAGTTCACTGAGGATTCGAGCACGAAGATGACGCTGCTGACGGACACGGCGAGCTGGGCATCGCCACTGTGCTGCAGCGTGAGATTTCCGTCCTGGCCACGGGAACCACGGGAACGGGAACCATCCCATGACTTTTGATGCACTTTTGGATGGAGATACAATTCATCAAAACTGCATACTTATAACCGAAGGAAGTTTAGAGGTCGAACCTCCGACAATATGGGCAGATGAAGCAACAGGGGTGCGAGCAGTCAGAGAAAAGAAGAGAAGAGAAGAGAAGAGAAAGAGAAGAGAAGAGAAGAGAAGAGAAAGAGAAAGAGAAAGAGAAGAGAAGAGAAGAGAAAGAGAAAGAGAAGAGAAGAGAAAGAGAAAGAGAAGAGAAGAGAAGAGAAGAGAAAGAGAAAGAGAAGAGAAGAGAAGAAGAAGAAAGAAGAAAGAAGAAAGAAGATCAGAGAAGAGAAAAAGTCAAAAGAAAGAAAATCAAGAAACATGCATCCATGGGCCATCTGCAACATGACCAACCGAGGCTGCAAACCAACCTCTGAACAAAGATGCTGTCTATGTGACCTTTCAAAGAGTCAAGTATTCTATGGAGAAAGTGATGGTTGCTACAATATCACAAGTGCAAGCAAAACTTCTACAACATACATGCAAGAGAAACTGCCACAACACAGATATAGAGAATAACTGATACAACTCAGCAGTAGAAAGAGCAGCTGGCACAACGAGCTGTGCCATGGGAGGTGTCACACCAGGTAAAGAGGCGGGACGTGTTGGAAATCGTCCTAGGAAACGATGATCAGACCAGTCCTTTCCCCGGGAGATCTTCCTTCTTGTCGAAGCTCCTGGACAGGGTGCTTTTCCGCCAAACCACTATTGCATTTGTAAAAAATAAATCATGTGAACTCTGGAATCGTATCTGTGTGTTTGTGAAACATGTGAAACCGTGTAAAAATCCAACGTCATGGATTGCAGGACAATGCGGCATGATTGCTGTGCCAAAATCACTATGAATCACTATGTATAGCATTGTATAGCACGTGTACTAAGACACACTGGGGATTAGTGTTTGGATATCGCCCTAAGCTGTGGCTTGAGACATAGGAAACTCAGGTGTGGCAATCGCAAAAAGTCGAAGTGGCGTCCCAATGTCCACATGTAGATTTCCACAAGTGAATTTAATGTACTCAAATGTCATGAACTCCATGTGCCCTTCTTTCTCGGCTACTCTCCGTTGCCAAATTCGCTCCTGCCACGAGATGATTGAGTCCTCTGCGATCAGCTTTGCACTCACCTGCGGCGCTACAACGATGGGAAAGGCGACTAAACATGATTAAACTAAACAAAAAACACGTTTACAATGGTGACTGAAATCACGATGATTTGTTTGGATCACAAAGAGTGCCCCATGAGTGCCCCAATAATCATCCCTGTGCCCATTCGGGGGTTCCGGTGGGGACCCTGGAGTTTGCAGATTCGAACAAGGTTTTGAATGGGCAAGGGGCACTACAAAATACAAAATCCCGATTCAAGTCGTCTCAGAGCAACCAACATCAACCAACATTCATGATTACAAAATCCTGGCCCCGAACCCCAATTTTCTGGGCACCGCTTTCCGCAAATACCTCTAGCCCGAATGTCTACCACTAGGCCAGCATTGCAAATGCCATCAAAAAAAGACAAAACATTGTGGAACCCCTGTTTCATCAATGTTGGGTGCATGTCAGGTGAAGAAATCGTATGAAATCATAGATTTAAATGTCAGCTCAATCCAAACCAAATTGCAATCATCCACAACAACAAGCAACACCGCACCAAAATGCTACACCTGGGTTTACCAGCCTTCAACAGCGGAGCATCGGTCGCATTTAAGCTGGAAAGCAACCTGGGCAGTACACGAGTGCCAGTTCTCCAATGGGTTGTTTGAGCCCTCCGTTTGCCTATACAGATTCACAGATTTTGAGAGATACAAGCCATTCGAACTTCAACCACTGCGTTGCTTGCTACTGTTCACAAGCGCGCCCCCTGAATGTTGTGACAACACAAGCGAAAAACATCGCTCCAGGACGGAAAAATAGGAAATTGCAGGGAATAAACATGTGAAGATTCTCACATAAAGACCAGTAGAAGGTGAATCTCGTATCACGTATCATGGTATATCATGGTATATCATATACTGAGAGCACTCATTTACTTCAAGGCAACAGAAAAGACCAAGTTGGAGAATTCCTGTGGCGCCCGGCCGGAGAAGCGCGTGTTGCATGCTTTCGAGACATCTTTTCGGATCCTTAGATTTTTTTTCCAGGAAAGCTCAGGATCAAACCAAACGTCAGGTTTAAACCACTGGGTTTTGAGGTGTCCCAGTTACGAACAATAGTAGGGAACCCAAAGAACATGGCCAGCAGGGCTTTCTGATTTCAACACGGCAAGTTGCTGTAAGAAAATATGCTTCAACAAGCTGCCCATTGAGCAGTTGCAAGCAGCAGAGGTTCCAATGCCCTTTATGTATTGAGGGTTGCCAGTGTTGCCAAAGCCCATCAACTGGGAATTTGATGAAAACACACCAATATATTTGGGTGTTTTGTTTCAGTTTTGGCCCAAACGAATTTGTTGCCTCATCCCAGTCCAGCTATGTCCAATCCAGGTGTTCCGGCTGCGGCGAGATGGGTCACGATGGCCTTGCCTGGCAAGAGACTGAGTCGAAGGTCAAAGGCTGATCAGGTCCTGTGATAAGACAATTATCATAATGTTCATCATTTTTAAGGGTCTATTTAAAGCTTTATGTTGAAAATAGGTTGCAACTGGTTAATTAAATTTGACACATGACTGGTGTGAACCCGCTAGAACTTTGCATGCTTCATTTGAGAGAGGATTACGTTTACCAGTTCAAAGAGGTGCATCTCAGGATGTTCCTGAAATCTTCAATGATGTGGCAAATCCCTCTGAGAACAAACTGGAGGCCTTTAGCCATGGCGCTGTGGCAGTTCTGCCAAAAGCGATGGAACTCCTCAGGCGGCATGGCAGAGAGCAAAACAAGCATTGGAGCAGATCACAGAGTCGGGCTATCCCCTGGAATTTCCACGGCTGACTTGGACACCCCATTTTTTGTTCGACCAAACAATGGAACTCGATAAACTACCAACATCACACATCTAAAGGATCACAGGGCCCTGACACCCAGGCAACCAATTTCAAAATCGCAAAACAACCCTATATATATACACATATTCTCTAAAGAATCAGAAGGTCAGAGTTGCAGTGGAACTGGTTACCTTCCCACTTGCCACTTGCCACCCTTGTGGATTGTTGGCATGACCTGTCACCCATGCGAGGGCTGGCTTGTAACGGCAATTTTGAGCAAATTCAAAAAGTAAAAATCGTCTATATACAGTAATTGGTAATTGATCTTCAAAATGCAATCTCTAAAACATCATGGTCCAAGGCAGTCCAAGGTGCCCTCCCCAGAAAATTGGGTGTCCGGGTTCCAGGCCTAAAAAAGATATCAATGTTCCCTTCCCCAAAAAAAAGGCGGGAAAATTGCCAGGAGGATGATGATATAGAATTATCAGCTATGTAACTAGTGGCTTTGTTTTTATTGAATCATCACCTATTCACTACAGGTTTCTGTCGACAGAAGCGGTCGAGGGAACCAAATATGGACTGGGCGGCCGAACTGTGTAGGCTTCAAACGTCTTCCTTGAGTTTGCGCGGTGCTAGGACCAGTCACTAGTCTCCAGTACCATGGAGGACATCGCAGGGGGATGGAATCACAGATCAATCATTCATCTTCATTATATTTCCCATATATCGGTTACATCTCGAATACAGAAGGGCGGAAAGGCTTGAAAAAGGATACCGGTTGAGTCCACAAAAGGTGTGTGTGTGTGTGGTTTCCCCGTCTTCTGCAAAGGATTTGGAGGTTGACCTGAATCTGTTTTGGGTGCAAATGTCAACGCATATAATTTCTGGCAATATAAAATCCATGTATGGTCGTAATAAATCAACTACAAGTATATATATATACATACACATCATATTATATCATCTATCCCCTATCCCATCACCTCCAATATATATATATACACACATACTAATATTCATATTTATAGTACTATGTCTACAGACATGCATTCTTTATATAATCATGTATGTGATCGGGAAACAAGAACATATGTTCCAGTGCTTGCCATCTATCCACGACCAACTCCGGGAACCCTGAACGGCGCCTCAATGGGCTGTCGCACTTTTCTGCGTCCGATTCCTGCAGGGGGGGCACATGGTCATGTTCGTTGCAATACCCTGCTGCCACAAGTGAAGAATATTGTAACAGAAAAGGATACAAAAGAAACCATGGGGCCTGGGATTGAAAACTATATATATATACATATTTGGACCATTGGTGGACCATGCTTTGCTTGCCCCCTGCTGGAAATACACTTCGTTCATACAATTTGTTCATTAGCACCGGCGTGTTCTCTCACACGGCCGTCTTCTTGCCGTCATCTTATTAGAAAATTTAGGTTTTGGCCCTATCACTTGTCTCTGTCCAGGTTTTTGACTCGAAGGAAATTTGTTTTATTCCCACCATGCTCCGCCCTGCTTGGAACCTTCGAGCCCATCCAAGTGATGAAGACCACCTAGAACCCGCGTCGCGGGCAATGCAGGCTTGAAATGCGTTTTGTGAGAACATTTTCCCGCTGATGCCAATCAAGTTTCAAAACAGTTCACATGAAATGCTGGAAACAATGAGGCTGACAAAAAAAACGCTCAAAACCCAACAGTTGCTGAAGGACATGATCCAATGTGAGCTATGCTATTGTCCTTTTATGCATTTTCTAGTTTTTAAATTTCATCTTGTGACTTCACTATATGTCCCTGATCCACAAAATTGATGACCCTTGGATCTTGTGACACATCTCCCATCCGCGCCTCAGAAAGCAAGATGCCAAAGGCATAATGGTCAAGGCGGCAAGCGTATTGATCTGGGCGGCACGGTCCATGTAGTCCACGTGGACATGGGTGGACTGGGGTCCTTGGGGTCCTGGGCCTGGGTGAAGAAATCCATCACAAGGACTTATGACGGGGGTTTCCACAAATGGAGGTACCCAAAATGGATGGTTTACAATGGAAAATCCTATTAAAATAGATCCCTACTCTTCCAGTTACGACTATTTCATGTAACCGCAGCAGTTACCCGCATATCAAATAACCAGGTTTCAGTTACGGAACCGCAGCTTGGATTTCAAGTAATCATATAAGATTCATCAAGTTATCCCATACAGATGTGGGTTCAATACATGTTTCATCAACAAATGGTTTACAATCCAGCATTTCACTACCCCATTAATCATGTATTTATGGAACAATGAAGCATTATTTATGGAGCAATGAAGCGTGCCTTGGCCCGTCAGCGATTTGAAAACCAGAAAGGTGCCACCCCAGCTCCCTGCCACATCCATGGCCACTTCAGGAACATAAATTGGATGTACCTACCATTATAAGACCTATACAATATTGTAAGGAAATATAATCACCAAAATATGGTTTCATATGGTACAGTACATCCACTTTAGGATCCTGGAATCACCATGGGCCACAGCCGCCGCAGTTGTCAATTTTGGCTTTGTGGATTTTAATAACCCCATTTAAGTTTCTCACATAACCCCATTGATATGGAATTACAAAATAAGTTAGACAAAAACCCACAAATCCAAAATGTTCATGTTACAGCAACTCGGAAGCCAATGCTTCACTTTCTTGAGCTCTTGACCCTGGATGGCTGCCGGGGCATGGCTGAGCGCGCCCCTGCCATTTCTCAATATCGATTTCCAGCCATGCGTGCTTGGTAAGCTACAAACCATATCGTCCCAGTGATCATACAATGAAATTCATCATGTCATGTCACACCACCCAGATCCAAATGAGAAAACAACGATGGAAGCTGCAAACGTGCCGGTTTCACGCCATTGCCAACCAGGACCCAGGCGGAAAGTAGAGGGGATTTCCACCCACTCCCTCCACCTGCGGCCCCAGACGTGTAGCTGTGTTGGGCAGGTGTTGCCTACTTCGCTATATGCCTGATCAAATTGATAGAAGAGGATGCAGATAGACATTGGCGAGTTTTGGAACGCGACCTGAAGATTTACGGTTTTGGGGCAGCAGACAAGGGGTACCCACCGCAGACGCGAGATACAAAGACTTCATATTCAAATATATTCAAATGACACCACCAAAGGACCTGAGCAATGTGATTGTGTTGTTTATAATACAATATATATATATATCTGTGTGTACAATTATGTACAATTGTATGCAGATATGCTATCTACGGTTGCGGATGTGTACTGATGTGTATATTTATATAATTGTACGTGTATATAATATATATATATATAGTAATTCTATGTATTTCTATAGTATTGCATGTTACTATGTATGTAAATTTATATATAATATGTATTCTGCATATATACTATATACGCATACACGTTTATGTAGACGCATATAGGCATATAGTGTATGTGTATGTGTATGTGTCCCGGGCCTTCCAGCCGCCTGACTGCCAGTTTCTAGCATCTACTGCCAGGCCGAAGTCCAGCAGTTTGAACTGGCAGCCAAATCGAAAGATGTTGGTGGACCGAAGCTCTAAACGCATAGAGAATCTCAGTGTAAGGTTCCAATCCATTGGGATATAACATAGGTTTTGTTTGAAAAGAAACAAAATCACAAGGGATGAGACAAAAATAACTCCCAGCCATGTCTGTCTATACAAGCCTCCAAAGGGTTGATAGTGTGGATGGTGGCCGTCATTCATCGGGGATGGTTTTAGTATCTCTATCATTCAACTAAAACCCCATTGTACTCCCCACGCTTCTGACTGAAATCCCCACAAATGTTTTTTTTTAATATATTCCCTATTTACAGAATTCCACGGGGTTGAAAATAAGATCTCTTTTTCCCCACTGAAATCCCAATGTTTGATGATAAAATCCCAAGGGTCATCCCAACAGCGACGATATCCGAAGCACCTTGAAACCAGCAGAGCTTTCATCCTTGGGAGTTTTAGGGCGCTATTGTGCAAAATGGCAGCACCTATACACTGTCTGCGCAAGTCCTCACTCAAAGTCACTTCATAAGCTCAACATGTCAAGTTGATTCACAGTGCCGAAACCATGTTCAATTCAACATCCTTGGTCAGTCATCAGAGCTGGGCAAGCAGCAATGAGGAAGTTCTTCGCGGAGATGTCTCGATGGAATGCCTGGCAATGACGTTGTTGGGCTTGTATTCGCGGAACGCGGAAATAATACAATAATGTGGTAAACCCAGTAATAAACTATCCCCCAAATCACCATAAATGGGCTGTATAAACCATCCCCAAATGGTAGGTTAATTTTGGGTTGCCACACTAACATGTTTGAACACTGTAACGGCTGATGCAGCAACTTGGCCGAGGCGGCAATCTTCTCCAAAGTCTCCAAGACCGGCAGCATTTGCTCGAGAAGGACCTCTGGTGGAACATCTGAGGTCCCAATTAGGTTTGGTCCAGAACGAAAGACTAAACAAAAAGAGGGAAGATGTAAAAGCCGAGGTATCTAAGTTCAGCTCCCAGGCAACTGAACCAGGTGTTTATTCAATTGATGAAGTTTCAAAAAGAACGATGAACAGTTGCAGGCCTGGCACCACATTACGAGATTATATAAGCCATACATTGGTAGATGTGTGATGATGGACCTATGAAACAAAATTAATGAATCAATGAACAGCACAATGGATATGTTCGATTCCTCCCTCAACCCCTAAAAACCTACCATGTGGATATTCAGCCTGCTGGGATTCAGCCGCTCAAAATTTAAAGCCCAGACCGCAGATTCTGTTCATGTTTAGTATTAACCATCCAACTTTAGGGGTATGAAATGTTGACCTATATTTAACTATATAACCCCTCGGCCCTTATCTACACCGCATTCAATAAACAATGTCCCTTGTGTTTGTTCCTGGGAGCTCTCCTCAGCTCCCCGGCACTGGCCAGGCTGAATGAGGCCGCCGAGGTGAACGTTCCCCATCTCTTCTTGTAGAGCCTCACTGCAAAACCAGAAGTACCCACTGGTAGCTCAACAGGCAGCTATGGGAAATCACCACTTGCGAAAAGTAAATCATCTACACCATGCAAGAAAACAACGGTCTTTTTGATTTGTGGGGAAGTTTGATTCCTTAAATCAGTTATGGACAACAAGTTTGGATAATGATCTAGTGATAGCCCAGGCACCATTTGGCCAGATCCATGCCCTTCTCCACTGACATCCAGATGTAGCCGGTTCCGTGGCCAAAGTATCTGCCAAGTCGAGATCTTGTGGACCCAAGTGCAATGGTTCATCATCCAATTTTTTGCCCGGATAGAAAGAACAATGTTGCAAAAAAAGTGGTTAAATCATGTACATATATCATACATATGTATGTATGTATGTAATGTAATGTAATGTAATGTAATGTATTGTATTGTATTGTTTTGTATTGTATTGTATGGTATGTATGTATGTGTATGTGTATATGTATAGGTATGTGCATATGTATGTGTATGTGTATGCGTGTGTATGTGCATGTACAGTATGTGTATGTATGTGCATGTATGTGCATGTATGTGTATGCGTGTGTATGTGTGTGTGTATGTGTGTGTATGTATGTGTGTGTATGTATGTATGTATGTATGTGTGTATGTATGTATGTATGTATGTATGTATGTATGTATGTCTGTATGTATGTATGTATGTGTATGTATGTATGTATGTGTATGTATGTATGTATGTATGTATGTGTATGTATGTATGTATGTATGTGTATGTATGTATGTATATGTGTATGTGTATGTGTATGTATGTGTATGTATGTGTATGTATGTGTATGTATGTGTATGTATGTGTATGTATGTGTATGTATGTGTATGTATGTGTATGTATGTGTATGTATGTGTATGTATGTATGTGCTGTGTATGTGTGTATGTGCATGTGTATGTATGTGCATGTATGTGTATGTATGTGTATGTATGTGTATGTCTGTGTATGTATGTGTATGTGTATGTATGTGTATGTATGTGCGTGTATGTATGGAATGTATGTATGTGTATGTATGTGTATGTATGTGTATGTATGTGTATGTATGATGTATGTATGATGTATGTGTATGTATGTGTATGTATGTGTATGTATGTGTATGTATGATGTATGTGTATGTATGTATATGTATGTATGTGTATGTATGTGTATGTATGTGTATGTATGTGTATGTATGTGTATGTATGTGTATGTATGTGTATGTATGTATTTAAGTATGTATATAAGTATGTATGTATGTAAGTATGTATGTATGTATCTATGTATCTATGTATCTATGTATCTATGTATCTATGTATCTATGTATATGTGTATGTATGTGTATATGTATATATGTATGTATGTATGTATGTAAGTATGTATGTCTCTATGTATGTAAGTATGTTTGTCTCTATGTATCTATGTATGTATGTATGTATGTACGTACGTACGTATGTATGTATGTATGTATGCGTGTATGTGTGTATGTGTGTATGTAAGTATGTATGTATGTATGTATGTATGTATGTATGTATGTATGTGTTTTCACCAACATAACCAACATAACCAACATAACCAACATAACCAACATAACCAACATAACCAACATAATAACAAGTAACCGATGATAACAGTATGTTGTTCTCGGATTGAAAAAACAATATCAAAACTTGAGTTTAATCCAACTGGGTTTTTACCATGGTTTTTGTTTTTTAACAAGATGACAAAACCACCTCACCACATTTCAATTTGTGCGTTCGTGTAGGGGGTCTTCGACTATTCCAAGTTTCAGGTGTATAGTACATTGCCATGTTGGATTTCCCCTTTCTTAGGTTGTTCGAAGTAGCCAACACTTTGAGACAAGTTTCGTTGCAACAAAAATCTAGTAATGTGGCAAAAACCATTACTATATTAACTAGATTGGACTTGTATTGGATTTACTCATCTGAGAAGGAAGGACCGAAAGCCAGCATCCCATCTACCCCTTCACCCAGAACCTCTAATTGCACATCCTTTTCACCCATATACTTTTCACCCAGAGATTCTTCACCCAGAAACTCGTCTTGCACAATTTTTTCACCCGTATACTTTTCACACAGAAAATCTTCACCCAGAAACTCTTCTTGCACATACTTTTCACCCAGAGACTCTTCACCCAGAAACTCTTCTTGCACATACTTTTCACCCATATACTTTTCACCCAGAAACTCTTCTTGCACATACTTTTCACCCATGAACTTTTCACCCAGAGATTCTTCACCCAGAAACTCTTCTTGCACATACGTTTCACCCATATACTTTTCACCCAGAGACTCTTCACCCAGAAACTCTTCTTGCACATACTTTTCACCCATATACTTTTCACCCAGAGACTCTTCACCCAGAGACTCTTCTTGCACATACTTTTCACCCATATACTTTTCACCCAGAGAGTCTTCACCCAGAAACTCTTCGTGCACACACTTTTCATCCACATACTTTTCACACAGAGACTCTTCACACAGAAACTCTTCTTGCACATACTTTTCACCCATATACTTTTCACCCAGAGACTCTGCAGCCAGAAACTCATCTTGCACATGCTTTTCACCCAGAAACTCTTCTTGCACATACTTTCCACCCAGAGACTCTTCACCCAGAAACTCTTCTTGCACATACTTTTCACCCATATACTTTGTAGAACCCCCGTTTGGCTTAAGACTGCTTTTGCCGTTTTGGTGCAGGAGGGGGGGGGGTATTGGTGCACGGCTGGTGCGCGGAAAAGGGCAAGGGTGGGTCTGGAAAGGGAAAAATAGGTGCGGGAGTGGGTTCTTGCCGATCTATGGATCCAGTCGGGATCCCGTCGGGATCCCGTCGGGATCCCGTCGGGACCCAGTCGGGCACCAATTTTGCATTTTTGGGCACCGCTTTTGGCCAGTCGGGATCCAGTCGGGATCCAGTCGGGATCCAGTCGGGATCCAGTCGGGCACCAATGTCGGGAGGCAGCCAAATTCATAAAAAACAGCATTTTTGCAGTGTTTTTGCACGTTTTTGGGTGATTTTGGCTGCTTCCCGACAGGTCCAAACGTGGTGCCAAAAACTCGAAAATTGGTGCCCGACTGGATCCCGACGCGATCCCGACTGGATCCCGACTGGATCCCGACTGGATCCCGACTGGCCAAAAGCGGTGCCCAAAAATGCAAAATTGGTGCCCGACTGGGTCCCGACTGGGTCCCGACTGGATCCCGACTGGGTTTCTTCAAAAAAGCACTTATTTCCCTAAATTTGAGCACCTATTTTTGAAATTTTAGCACCTTGCCGTGCACCACCACCACCCCACTCCGGACCCCCCCCCACCAGTCTTAATCCAAACACGGGCAACTCAACATATACTTGTCACCCAGAGACTCTTCTTGCACAAACTTTTCACCCAGAGACTCTTCACCCAGAAACTCTTCTTGCACATACTTTTCACCCATATAATTTTCACCCAGACACTCTTCACCCAGAAAACTCTTCTTGCACACACGTTTCACCCACATACTTTTCACCCAGAGACTCTTCACCCAGAAACTCGTCTTGCACATACTTTTCACCCATGTACTTTTCACCCAAATACTCTTCTTGCACATACTTTTCACCAAGAGACTCTTCACCCAGAAACTCTTCTTGCACATACTTTTCACCCATATACTTTTCACCCAGAGAGTCTTCACCCAGAAACTCTTCTTGCACATAATTTTCACCCACAAACTCTTCACCCAGAAACTCTTCTTGCACATACTTTTCACCCAGAGACTCTTCACCCAGAAACTCGTCTTGCACATACTTTTGACCCAGACATTCATCACCCAGACACTCTTCTTGCACAGACTTTTCACCCATATACTTTTCACCCAGAGAGTCTTCACCCAGAAACTCTTCTTGCACATACTTTTCACCCATATACTTTTCACCCAGAGACTCTTCACCCAGAAACTCTTCTTGCACATACTTTTCACCCATATACTTTTCACCCGGAAACTCTTCTTGCACATACTTTTCACCCATGAACTTTTCACCCAGAGATTCTTCACCCAGAAACTCTTCTTGCACATACGTTTCACACATAGACTTTTCACCCAGAGAGTCTTCACCCAGAAACTCTTCTTGCACATACTTTTCACCCATATACTTTTCACCCAGAGATCCTTCACCCAGAAACTCTTCTTGCACATAATTCTCACCCATATACTTTTCACCCAGGATACTGTTCACCCAGAGACTCTTCACAAAGAAACTCTTCTTGCACAAACTTTTCACCCACATACTTTTCACCCAGAGACTCTTCAGTCTTCAACCAGAAACTCTTCTTGCACATACTTTTCACCCATGTACTTTTCACCCAGAGATTCTTCACCCAGAAACTCTTCTTCCACATCCTTTTCACCCAGAGACTCTTCACCCAGAAACTCTTCTTGCACATACTTTTCACCCATATACTTTTCACCCAGAAACTCTTCTTGCACACACGTTTCACCCACATACTTTTCACCCAGAAACTCTTCTTGCACATACTTTTCACCTATATATTTTTCACCCAGGGACTCTTCTTGCACATACTTTTCACCCATAGACTTTTCAACCAGAAACTCTTCTTGCACATACTTTCCACCCATATACTTTTCACCCAGAGACTCTTCACCCAGAAACTCTTCTTGCACATACTTTTCACCATGTACTTTTCACCCAGAGATTCTTCACCCAGAAACTCTTCTTCCACATCCTTTTCACCCATATACTTTTCACCCAGAGACTCTTCACCCAGAAACTCTTCTTGCACATACTTCTCACCCATATACTTTTCACCCAGAGATTCTTCACCCAGAAACTCTTCTTGCACATACGTTTCACACATAGACTTTTCACCCAGAGACTCTTCACCCAGAAACTCTTCTTGCACATGCTTTTCACCCATACACTTTCCACACAGAGATTCTTCACCCAGAAACTCTTCTTGCACATACTCTCCACCCATGTACTTTTCACCCAGAGATTCTTCACCCAGAAACTCTTCTTGCACATACTTTCCACCCATATACTTTTCACCCACAGGCTCTTCACCCAGAAACTCTTCTCGCACATACTTCTCACCCATATACTTTTAACCCAGAGACTCTTCACCCAGCATACTGTTCACCCAGAGAGTCTTCACCCAGAAACTCTTCTGGCACATACTTTTCACCCATGAACTTTTCACCCAGAAACTCTTCTTGGACACACTTT